TCTTCTGTTGTCATTGGATTTGATGAAAGACGTGAAAGAGCATTTGATGTTGAATTATCATCTAAATCACCTTCAGTAACATCACCAAAATCTAATAAGGAATTTTCAACCAAACGACTATCATCATTCTAAAGAGAAGAAAAATATCAATAATAAAAATAAATAATTTCACTTCAAATAAAACAAACTCCTTCAGTTGATTCTTCTTTTTGTATTGTTTCATTTTTAATAACAGTTGATGTTGATGTTGCAAATGGATTTATTGTTTCATCTTTAATTGATGGTGATTGTTGTTGATTTGTTGTATTTATTGAACTAGCTGATGTTGGTTCTAATGTAGTCATACTTATTTGTGTATTAAGACCATTACTTATAATTGTTTCTTGTTTTGCTTTAAGTTTAGTTAATTCTTCTTCTAATTCTTTACATTGTTTTTTACAACGACTTGCTTCTAAACTATATAATTTACATTGAGCTTGTAAATGATTTATTAAACTTCGCATTTCACGTGTTATTGGTACTGAAGAAAAAAAAAATTAACAAAAACAAAAAAAAAAAAAAGGAAAAAATTTTCATCTAAAAACCTGATTGTTGATTAGCAATAAGGACTTTTTCATATTCAACTTGAAGAAGATCATAATCACGACGAGCTTCTGCTAAATCAGCAACAACTTGTTCGATATTGGCAATTAATTTACGTTGATTTTCAAATTCTTCTTGCTAAAGAATAATAAAATTTTTTTTTTCTATGCAAAAAAAAAAAGATTAATTTTTACTTCAATTTTTTCAAAATGATGATCATAAATTGTTTTTGTACATTTAACCAATTCTCGAGCATCACTTAATTGATGTCGAAGATGAACACTTTCATTAACTAAAGCTGTGTAACGTGATTGAAGACATTTAAATTCCGGTGTTTCATTTATAAGTTCTTCTGGTAATGAACGAAGCTAAAAAAAAAGAATCAATAAATAAATTATTTTTTTTTTTCAAAGCAAAAATACTCTGTGCATACAAAAAGTAGTGATCAAGGTATTTTTTTAATTCTCTAGAAAAAGCTTAAAGAAACTTTCTCTCTACACGAAAATAATGTTCTATGATATGTGACAAAGACTGTCATCAGAACAAAATAATTTGACTTGCTAATGCTTTTTCATAAAAAGTCATTTGAAATTGTTTACTAAATGCAAATATAAATCTTTCAGAATATGTGTCATCTTTGTAATTCCACCAGCTAGTGATATTTTCAAATGTGTGATACTCATTTCAAATTCATCATTGTTCAATATGAACTCTTTCGGTTTCAAGGAGATTCAACACCTCTTATCAAATTATAAGCACACCTAGCAGACAATTAAAAAAAGTGAATCTTGTTCTGCTGCTAAATGATGATATTCAGTTACAAAGAATCGATGTTTTTTATTGACAAATATCTTGTTTTTGTATGAATATACTACTGATGTCATGCATCTATGCTCAAAAAAAAAGACAAGAAGGTGGACTAAAAAGAATTATTTCTTCATCAAAAATAAAGTAAAATGATAGAAAAAAGAAATGAGCACTGAATATAAATATGATTAAAATTTTTCGTTAGGTTACTAATCCATTCCATAGTCGACCTCAGTTTATGTGTCATGAGGGGGCACTGTCTGACCTTGAAAATAGGCCAGAATAAAAAAAAAAGTACTCTGTGATTGTCTCAGATATGTGACGACAATATTAAATCATATTTTATCTTCAATATATATTCTCGTCGTTCTTATTTTCTAGTTATTTATACGTATGCGGATATAAAAAAAAAGTATCGAAACAAATTCATCAAGTTATTTCATTACATATTCGAAATAATCGTCCTAGTTATTCACATTCAATTGTATTCGTTGAATCTATTTCTATTGACACCACTATTTGTACACCCTAATATGTATAAACGGCTAAGTAATCGAGGAGACGAGAAAAAAAAGAGAACATCAAGAAATCAATACGCATTGAAGACAAAAATATAATTTAATATTATTGTCACATATCATAATAAAGAGCTTTCATCGAAATATTTTTATTATGATATTAATTTAAGAAAGATCAAATATCAGAGAAATATAAAACATTGTTTTTATTGAATTTACTTTATTTTTAACTACTTCAACTTCTCGTTTTGTTGTTTCATGATCACTCATTAATTTTTCTAATTCAGCAAGACGACCAGCTGCTAATTCTTTATATTCTTCAATTTCAGCTTGTAAATCAGCATACTAAAACAAAAAAAAAAGAAAAAGGAAAAATTATATTTATTTAAATATTGTTTGATTTGAAACAAAGAAAAAAAAAATTTATTTACTTTATTTTCAGCAATAATAATTGTATTATTATTTGAATTATTTGAATTTGAATCTGGATCATGTTTAATATCATTTGCTTGAAATTTTAATCTATCATGTTCTAATTTTGTAATAGCATCAGCTAATGCACGTTCTAATTTTGTTTCTTTACTACGCGATTTTTCTAATTCATATTCAAGATCAGATAAATGACTTTTTTTTTCAAGTAACTGTTCTTCTTGAAGAACTAATTGATTATTTAAATCTGAACACTATAATTAGAATAAAAATAATTTATGTATTAAAAAGAAAATACATATATAAGTGTGCAAATTTTTACTCGAAGAGTTATTTCATGAATACGACTTTGTAAAGTTGTATTTAATCGTTGAATTCGATCATTTTCATGTTCAAGATCTGCATTGCGTTCCAAAACAACTTTATAAACTTCATTTGTACATTCTAAAACAATTGATACGATCAATTCTACAGGAAAACCTGTCGAGATGATAAAAAGAGCTTTTCAAACGAGACTTATGTCATTCGGTAGAGTCTTCTATGAGTAAGCAAAATTTAGAATGATTCGTTTTCTGATTGTTTTCTTTTTAAGTTATGACAATTTTTGATGAGTTTCTAAACTAGTTTGAGAAATATAATAAAAAATCGAATGTCGTTTTTTTGACCTTAAATTTCGGTCGTAAAGTGTTCTTATTATCTTTATGACTAAAATTCAAGGTCAAAAAGACGATATTCGATTTTTTATAATATTCCCTATACTATATCAGAAATTCATTAAAAACTGTCATAATTGGAAAAGAAAACAATAAGGAAACGAACCATTCTAGGTTTTACTTACTCACCATAGACTGTATCTAATGTTACAAGTTTCGTTGGAAAAGCTTTTTATCATTTCGAGAGATTCTTTCCTAAGGAGATACTAAACATTATAAACTTTGAAATATTTAATATTGCACTAAAGATAATAATCAAATAAAAGATAAATTATAATACTAGGAAATAGTTTATTAGAATAAGAATGAATAATATTCATTGGAATAGGAATGACATATTAACTTTAGTTTTTTTTTAAAAATCATTTCATTGTTATGAACTTTGTTTTATAAAATATGAAAAAGATTTTCAATGAAAAGAAATATTTTTATGATAAGCTAAGGTACAATTTTGTTATCTATGGAAAAACCAATTTATCATAAAAGAAAAACCCATTTCCAACAATAATAAATTTAAGATTTTCATATTTCTAAAAGTTTTCAAATTGAAATAATCAAAATTTTTAATAGAAATTTTACCAGGAATTGAATTTGATTCACCGGTAGATGAAGAAGAGTTGATTGAAGTAAATAACCGTTGATATTTATCCGATAAACTAATATAAAAACAAAAAAGATTTATTCAAACAAAACCGATAATGAACTGGTTTTAGTTTTTTCAAAACATACTTATCAAAAGCTCGTACAAGTTTAACAATAGCTTTCGTAGAAAAATCTAAACGTTGTTTAAGATGTTCATCAAGATCTTCACGTAACCATGTGTTTAATTGATGAATATATGAACGAGTTTCTTCACCTTGTCGTTCTTTATTTTCATTTGAATTTGTTGTATTAGTTATATTACTATTTGATGTAGTTTCATCATTTGTTAACGATGATGTTGATGATGATTGATTATTTCCATCTGTTGATGTTGTTGCATCAAATCGTTCAAGTAAACGACGAATATCTTCATCAAGCTAAAAAAAAAGAAGTCTTATTGTTATGTAATAAATATATAACAATTATTATACTTGTGTCCAATAAAGATCGATCATACTCCATTTGCAATCAACACTAGCTTTATTTGTTTCTAATTGATCTATTTTAGATTTCCATTCAATTTCTGCTTTACGACAATTTTGTACACATTCATATAATTTTTTATTTTGAATAAGTAAAAGTTTTGCATCAAGTTCTTCCTAATAAAAATTAAAAAAAAAAATATAAAAATAAAACCCATAAAACAAATATATACAATGTAAAATAACTTACAGCAGATTGTACATCAATTAATTTGAATGGTTCAAAGACTACAACCCGTTTACCATTACTTTGACTATCACTTTCAGCTGCGTCATCAAGACCAGCATCAGATAGAGTACGTTTTTTATTTGATAATGTGGAAGAATTTAATTTTTTTGAATTTGTACTACTAGACGCACCACCACCACCACCACCACCTGCGTCACTCATATTTACAATTATATATTAATCTATAAACAAAATTAAATAAATAATATATTAAAAAGAAAAAAAAAACATCGAGGAAAAATTATTTATTTTAGACAACATAGAGACATAATCGAACTAGACTAAACTATAAATATAAACATAGAAAAAAAATATCTAGACTAACACCCGAATAATAATTGTTGCTTATTCACTTTTTCACTGGAGAAATTATTCAAGGAATAAATGATAGATAGAATATAAATAAACATATTGATCACAGTGACATCTTGTTTTATATTATTGGTTAAAATAATTATATCCAATACACGTAAGAAAATTTATGAGAAATGATGATAAAATATAATGTATATAATTGAATAGAAAAAAAAAAAGAAAAAGAAAAACGAAATGTGTTATTTTGAAATCACTTTAGTTTTATTTATTCTTGTAGAATAAAATGGCAAAGAAGAAGGATACAAAAACTATGAATGATGATCGATTATTGGATTCAGATGAAAAAGTAATCAAAGTTTTAAGTAAAACTATTTTTATTTCATTGTTTAGGATTTATTGACACTTGAAGGTTATATCAAAGCTTTTGAATCATGTGAGAAAAATTCTGATATATTCGCTCGTCTAACAAAAGAATGGGATGATATTGATGTTGACGTTTGGAAAAATCATTTATCATCTAAAAATATGCTTCAACCAGCAAAATATCTTTTTTTCTTTTGGGAGAATAATTTTGAAAATAAACGATTAGAAGAAAAAGATTTTAGAAAATTTATTGAAATATTTTCTCTTCTTGAAAGTGTCTTTCGAAATGTTCTACTTCGACCATATATACCTTCTTATCGTATAATAAATATGAATTGTGGTCCATATCGTTCATTTGTGACAATATCTGATAAATTATTATTTGAGCAGTTACATTTTCATGAAAAATCCTCAAATCTACTAATTTATGATGGAAATAGTTCAACACGAACAATTATTTATGCTATAACTTGTTCTATTTTTTGGCATAATCTAATGATGAAGTTAAAAAATAAATAATAGTTAACAATTAATCTAAAGTGGCACGATATCAAAGAACAAGATCGACTAAAAATTTTCTTGTATACTTGAGTGAATATTTTTGTATAGCATAACAATTTTTACAATTTTATGTTTTTTTTTGGTTACTTTTTATTCCAAAAAATTAATTCATTTATTTTATATATATATATATATATATATTTTGTAGATAAAAAAATGTCCTCACGTGCAGTACGTAAAACGGCAGGTCATACAACTGAAGATGATCTTGCTCAAGTATTACAAAAAGTTGGTCTTGATAAACATGATAGTGATAATGAATCTGATTTAATAACAAGAGTAACTAATCATCGACGGAATGTATTTGAAATGTTAGTAGATGAAGATGATGATGATAATAATGATGAAAAAACAACTGTAGATGATGATAATCAATTAAATGATGATGTACAACAACAACAACAATCTACAACATCAAAAACAAAACGAAAACGTAAAATTAAAAAAAAGAATAATCAAATTCAAAAAATTGATCAAGTAATCAATGAATATAAAAGGAATTAAATAATTTTCATATAAATAAATCTTTAGAATAATGATGATAATGATTTTTTCATTGAATCAAATGAATTTCAACAAGAACCAATTGCAATTTCAACAATATCAAAAGAATTATTTTCAAATTTACTTTCAGTTGATAATCGTTTTTTAAATCCATTAAATGAAATGAAAAAAAAATTTGGAAGTAATATTGTTGAACAAATTGAACGTGAAAATAATCTTTCAACTCAAGCAGCAGCAGCGGCTACAATACTTGCGCAACGGTAAATATTGTCTTTTTATTCATTTTAATAATTAAACGTTTTTTTGTTTGATAGTAATCGCCGTGCATATCCGATGTTACAACAACGTCCAACCACTCGATTAGCTAAACAAAATGCATTTATAGTTCCTAAATTAGGATGGCCATCATATTTTAAATTTGGTAAAGTGTCGGCAATTCGTATTTTTTTTTTGTCATGATTGGATAGAGCTCGTTCGGTTATCGCTGAAAATGTTACTTTTGATATATTCAAATGATATTTTTGTAGTGAAAATTAGGCTAAAAAAAATCAGAAAAGCCTATAAAAATTGAAATATAACAAAAGAATCTAATCTTGATAGTCATTCTTTTTGTTTTTTTTTTTGGATTTTAATTGTGATTTGGTTAGAAAAACAAAATTATGCATGGTTTTTAACAAGTATTCTTTTTGATTGTTGAAAAAATCGATTCTTTTTGCGATATGATACCAAAATGCCAAAAATACGGGTTCGTTTAAAGAAAGCTATTAGCACAATCTCTATGGGATTAAAATGTGAAATATGATGTAGCTACTCTTACCAATTATAGGGAGATTGTTTTATTCTATCTATTTTGGTATATATTTCTTCATCATCCTTTTACTTAGTCGTCCAGAAATACAATAAAAATCTAGTTCATAAATTAAAGTGAGACATTAATAATATATGGTCTTTGATCGTATATCAACAACCTCTGTCCAGAGCTGTGGTAGAAGATGTAGCTGTAAATTTCTTCCCTTTATACTTCATCACTTCTTTTGGCGTATTGCAATTTTTCTGTTTTTTTTTAAAACCTAATTATCACTATAAAAACATGATTTGAATATCTTAAACTCAATATTTTCAGAGGTAACTCGATGAGCTTTATCCAGCCATGAAAAAAAAGTAAAAAAAAAAGGCTTCGCTCAAAGTTCTAATTGTCGACACTTTATATTTTCCTAATTGAATAAAAAAAAATACTATTTATTAACAAATAGGTTTATCAATGAAACCATCATCTCCATTATCTGAAACACCATCAACTACAGGAAATTATTTTCAATTTGAATATGATAAAGATTATCAACGATTAGCAATTCAATTTTTTGATTCTGTTGATCAACATGATCTACAAGGAATTATGGTTTGTTGTTTTGAATTTTTTCTTACAAAAAAAACACACACACGCATGCACAATACTTTAACTAAATTTTAAATAGGATATTCTGCGTCAATATCCATATCATATTGATGCACTTCTTCATTTAAGTGATGTAAGTCGAATGCAAGATGATACACCAACAGCTGTTGATCTGATTGGTATAATAATAATAATTTGTTTTTTTTTTTTTAATACCACAAAAAAAAATAAAATCTATGTTTATTTCTATTAAAATAGAACGTGCGTTATATAGTTTTCAACAATCATTTCATCCACTTTTTTCAATAATACGTGGTGAATGTCGTCTCGAATATCGAATACAAGCAAATCGATCGTTTTTTATTTGTTTATTTAAACATATTATTTATATTGGTGAACGAGGTTGTTCAAGAACAGCATTAGAATTTTGTAAAGTACTTTTAAGGTAAAATTTAAATCATTGATCAATTTAAAAAAAAAACCAATAGAAAGAAACACTTTGCTTTTTTGTGTTTATCATTGAATTTGTTTAGTCTTGATCCAATTGATGATCCACTTGCAATTCTTCTTCTTCTCGATTATTATGCAATACGTTGTGAAGAATATAATTATTTAATACATTTTTATACTGAACAAAATCAACGATTAAATCTTGATGGTTTACCAAATTTTGCTTATTCAATAGCACTTGCATATTTTCGTTTATCATCATATGATGAAGCAAATGAAACTTTACAAAATGCTTTAATTCGTTTTCCATCTATACTTAAATATTTACTTGATAAATTATCAATAAAACCAGATAGAACAGTTGAAAAATGTCGATATTTTTCTGATAGTGAAAGATATGAAACAAATGCACTTAAATGTGTACAACAATTATATGTTGTAAGAATGTCAAATGAATGGAAAGAAAAAGATGAATTAGAATTTTTAAGAAATAATGTTAATCAAGTTATTCATATTATTGAACAAAATCAAGATTCAAGAATTACTAATTATAAAAAATTGTAAATTGAAATTTATTTAATTTGACAAAAATAATAAGACTATTAAAAAATAAATAAAATTTTTATTCGATTTTAGACGAGAAACATGTTATCGTAGAACACCAGTTAATGTTTGTCGACATATTATTTTATCAGAATCAAATGAAATACGAGGATTTTTACCCAATGTAAATATTTATAAGAAAAGAAAATGTTAGTGTAAATTTCTTTTTCTTTTGTTTTAATTATTATAGGATATGGAAAATGATGGTAGATTTTATAATGTTGATCCGTTTCCTCCAAATGATTCAATTGCTAGTTTTCAAAGAACAGAAAGGTAAGTTTCAATTGATTTTTTTTATTTTATTTTATTTAAGAACATGAATTAAGAGATATAAAATTTATGCTATCTGACATTGTTCATTATCTAGAATTTTGTAGTTTTGAATAGAAAAAATTGAGATGAAAATTAAACTAAATACGTAGGATGTTCAAAAAATTTTCGGACTGATTTTATTGAAAAACAATAAGAAGTGTTGATATATTGGTATGATTGTTTGCGAATAGTTCGTATAATATTCTATCAATAGACATGATGAATTCTAGTTGAAAAGTCAGTTCGGAAACTTTTTAAACGCCTCCAAGAAGTTTTCTTCATGATTGTGAATGAAACCCAGACGACGTGACATTGAATAATAAAAGCTCGATAAATTTCATGATTATTATTTTCTTTTTAGACCAACTATGCAAATTAATAGTTCATACAATGGAATTGGTATGCTTCTCCGTTCGTTACTACCAAATTTTAATTTAGAAGTAATAAAAAAAAATGCCTATTCCTAGTTATTAATTTTTTTTTTTCTTTTCTAAAATTTTTAAGAATTTTCTTGTGGCTCCTGATGCTCAAGCTGGTGCTGTTGGCGGTGGTGGTGTAGGAGAAAATGATGCTGGTATGTTACAAGCTCTACAAGAAAGTATTCGTGATTTTATACGTGATATTGGTCTAACTAATATTGGTGAAGATCAACTTCAACAACATCCAGCTGATGATGATAATGATGAAAATAATAATGAATTTGATTGAGTTATGGTTGTTTATAAAAAAAAATTCTATTATTACGAAAGAAAAAAAAAGAAAGAAAATATTTTAACCAAATATAAGAATTAAACGAAATCATTTTTTCGTTTATAACAGAGTTAAAGAGTTAGTTTAGTATCATGTTTATTATATTGTAGGATAAGACCAAAATTTGAACATGGTTCAAATTGATTTACATGTTAAAGAAGAATATCAGCAAAGATCAGGCGACTAAACCTAGAGAGGATTCCAATAGGTATGATTTTCTTGAGATATTGCTAACAATTAGAGGAATTATTCTTACCTGTTTGCATATGAACAAATGCTATGATGAACTCGTTGAATGTTAAGACGCCTGTAATAATAATAAAAACAATACAATATATTAATGTTTTTTTCCTTATTTTTCTGTTTATCCTACCATTGCGATCAGTATCATACATCAAAAACACTCCTATGAATAATGATAAAAAGACCAAAACAAAAAAACTATAAACAAAAAAACAAAAATAAAATAAAAACATACGTTCCGCATCCATATCTAAATTATATGCATTTGCATACGGATTTGTTTCAAGATAAACTAATTTGAAATCATTAATTTTCATTCTATATTATAATAAAATACATTTTTTTAAACAAACAAAACAAACTGTTTTATTTTCTTTACCGTCCACTTTTGCCTACTCGATCCATAAATGCTTCATAGATTTGTTGAATAACATATGGTTGTAATCGAGTCATTTGACTGTAACCTTGTACTTCTTTACTTGATAATGTTGGATGTTTACTCAAATTTTTACCCATTTCTTTTGTCTGTTATGTTTTCCTTCAAATGTACTATATAAAACTATTCATCACCTACGTTCCGCTTCAATGAACATGTAATTAATAGTTTTTATAAGTTAACCTTAATGTTGATGAAGGGTGTCTTTTATTAAAAGAAAAAGAAAACAGTATATAAATTTCAATTTTTTTTCAGATTATTTTTTTTTTTTTGTTTTTGAAAAATTTATAAAAGAAAAATAATATGTTTAGATAATAATGATAAAAGCAATACTTGTATTTAATAATTTAGCTAAACCACGATTAATAAAATTTTTTGAACATTATTCAGAAGAAATTCAACAGCAAATTGTTCGAGAAACTTTTCTTTTAGTATCAAAACGTGATGAAAATGTTTGTAATTTTCTTGAAAGTGGATCATTAATTGGTGGAAATGATTATCGTTTAATATATCGACATTATGCAACATTATATTTTATATTTTGTGTTGATAGTTCAGAAAGTGAATTAGGTATATTGGATTTAATACAAGTTTTTGTTGAAACACTTGATAAATGTTTTGAAGTAAATATTTTTATTTTTATTTTTTTGTCGAAATTTAATTCTCATTTGTTTTTTTTTTTTTTTCTTTAGAATGTCTGTGAACTTGATCTCATTTTCCATGTAGATAAAGTTCATTATATTTTACAAGAAATATGTCTTGGTGGTATGGTATTAGAAACAAATATGAATGAAATAATTGCACGAATTGATGAACAATCAAAATTAGAAAAACAAGAAGCTGGAATAACAGCAGCACCAACAAAAGCAATGACAGCATTAAAAGAAATGAATTTACCACAAAAAATCAAAGATATTAAATTACCTGATATTAATTTACGTTTCTAATTATTTCAATCTTTTATGTATTGTTGCATGTTTAATATATAAACAAAAAACACTAAAAAAAAATATTAAACGATTTCTTATAGACTTCTAATATCTAATAAATAGTATCATTAATAGATTTTTTTATTTATAATTTGATTTCAGAAATGAGAAATAAATTAAACAAATAGTCAGATCAAACTTTAGTTATGAGATATTTCTTTCAAAAAATCAAAGCCTGAAACAAAGTGCTTAACTATCATATGTATACAAAGACTTTCACCCAGTGATATTGATATTAAAAAAAGGACATATAAAGATCCTATAATATTATTTTATAAAATACACATTTATCATATTAAAAAAAAATATGATCTAATCATTAATTAAAATAACTATTAGCATGAAAAACGAAGGTTAAATGGTTAATGTCTGCTACAGTTAAACATATATTTAAATTCGACCTGTTAGAATAAATAATAAAAGAAATTGAAATAAATTTTGCTACAAGTCATTTAACAATGACTTAACAACTGTAGATAATACTAGTTCGTATAATGATACTTCAAAACAATCTTCATCGACAAATATTAACTCTTGTAATAACTATTGAGATAAATTAATTTCACAAACTAGTTTATTTGATACTCAATTAGCAAATATTCAAGATATTTTCTCAAGTTTTTTTATCATAATAATTACAGCAACAAGCAAATAAGAGAGTTAATTATTTCGATATTAGAAAAATTAACAATTAGCAAGAATCAACTAATGTTCTTTTTTTCATTTTGATGAATTAAAATATTCATCTTTCGATGTAACAATCATAATTCTTAGCCATCTTCTAATGCAAAATCGAACTAGAATAATGAATCTATTTGAAGTATGCCAGGTCACTGACAATGTAATGTTGAATATAAAATATAGTTCACAATATCATATTAATTTGAAAACTTACCAAAATTTCTTTAAAAAAAATTGCTTCAATACTTAGTATTTATACTCGAAATGTAACTGCTTTTGATTATAAAAATACAATTAATATGGATAAATTCTTTTCTATGTCGCATGTTGACAAAGCATTTCTTAGTAAATACAAAGGTTATGGACGAGGTTAAGAGTGCGAGCTTTGCCTTCACCTACAACAAACATCTGCACCGGCACACATACCCTACTTCGTCATATTTGCTTTTCGATAAATTTCTATTTTGACAAAATTTCATTTTTCCTTGAACTTCTCTATGGTCAAACGATGTAATTCATGGTATAGCTAGTCGAGCTCATTGATGAAATCGTTGTTTTAGCACTAATCTCTGAATGAAATAAATCAGGAAAAAAGATTATTGATTTGAAAGGAATCTTACCATTTGTTTTCAAGAATAAATATAGATTAAAAAAAAATTTGTTGTATTAAGTAAAATTCTTTAATTCAATAAAACATTTATGCATTGAAAATGACAATCACGAATGATACTATATCAAACAATATTAAATATAACGTCTATTATTGGTAAATCTCTTGTTATAGATAGTAATCTTCGTTTTCTTACTAAAAATCAGCTGTATCATAGCACTGAAACTTTTTATCACCTGTTCAAAACTATTTAATGCATAAAAAAAAGATAAGATGGTTTTAGTAAAAGAAATAAAAATATTGATACTAGGTCAATGTTCAAAGATTTGTTTTATCTGTTCTTTTTTTTTCACATAAAATTCTAATTTGATTATCGAAATCATTCTATCAGAAACAGAATCATATCTTTAATTCATTAAAAAGTATACAAAAATGTTGTATTATATTTATCTTTATGCTTTTTGATATCTATATATATATATATCTATATATATATATATGATTTGATATTTAACCAGTTTATTTGTGAAATTGTTTATGATTATTGATTTATCGATGACGAATATTGAAGACATAGAAAAAAAAAGAAACATTCGTCAACTTTCTCAAAATATTCAATGATCAAATATGTGCCAGATCATCATGTCCATCAGAATCCGATCCTGATACAACTTGTCGTCGATCGTTACGTGCACCTTTGCCTGTCTCTTTTTTAGTTCCTAATAAATTTCCTGCATTCAAATTTCCAGTCTTTTTTGGCATTCGATTTGGATTATAATATTGATTGCCATCTTCTTCGTCATCATTTGATTCTTCGTCCGATGGGCTTTCATGATTTCCTGTTCGACCATTTGTATTTCTTGGTAATCCATTTTCTTCATCGTCTGATACTTCATTATTATAACGTTCATCGAATACGACATCATCTAATCCATCGGTATTAGTTGTTGATGTTTCAGTTATATTGATATTGTCCGGTATTTCATGCATACGTTTTAATTCACGAGCTTCATCAGCTAAGAAAAATAAAAATTTTTTTTTTACTATTTAATTCATTTATTAAAATGAATATTATCCTACCTAGATATCTCATAATAACATCAGCTTTATCATCTTGATAGTCTCGTAATCCAACAAGAATAACATCTCCTTGATTGATCCATTGTTTTTTACGTAATTTACCACGAATGTGGCATAAACGTTTTTTTCCACCTGCAATATCGAAACAGAACGCTTCCAAATGACCATTACCCAAAATACGTGTAACTTGGGCATAAGATTGACCTTCTTCTTTAAGTATTAATTCCCGTTTGACATCATCGTTTTCATTTTTACCACGACGACGATTTTTACCACCTTTTCCTTTATTTTTCGGCATTGTCCTTTCTTAAAGATTTATACGTAATGTGTGTTGTTGAGTTCAAAAAATGCTTCGATATTTATAAAAAAAGTACGATAAGAAGCTTGGAATCTAGAAGAAGAAGAAGAAGGAATAAATGACGTACAAAGTTTCCCTTATAATGAGCCACTCATAAATAAAAGAAAAAAACAAATCAACAAAATGTCTGAACGGTTGAGTTTTACAACCAATCAATTAGAGATCATCAACAGATGTAGGTACTTGTCAATAAAAAAATTTCAGTACATGTCGTAATGATTTTCATGCCATCAAATGTTATGTTTTTCTGACTTTATTTATTCGATTCTATGATATCATTCAAGAGTCATGATCAAATTTTATCAAATCTGTTAGAATTTACAAAGAATCTAGTAAATATAAATTTAATAACTCATGCCGTCTATTTTGTTCAAACAAACAGAATATTTCAAGCAAGATACCAACAAAAATTATATCTAATAATAACATTAGTATTCATTTAAATAGAACAAAGACTTTGATTATGTATTCATTGATAAATTAACGCATTATTAGACTTTAAATACTAAAATAGTTCCCTTATGAGTGTTAAAACAAAATAAATCTTACTCTATGATTTTCATGATAGTAAAGTCGATGATCGATTTTTATTCGATTATTTCTTACACTCTTTTTTTTTGTTGACTTGAATGAGTACAAAAAAAGAACTTAAAAGTAAAAAATTTATATGCCAACAAAATAAATGGCATGAATATTAATATATGACGTGAAAATATGTGAGCTACTTATCTTTAACAATACGTTTAAATTGTTTCTCTTGGAAAATTATTTTTACTTATTTAGCTGCAATCGCATCTAGTTGGAAACGCATCTTTCTTGTAGTAGATGACAGATTTTACTAGGCAATATAATAACTATTCTCGATCAATTGGTTATCAGAAAATATCTACGTTTAAAAAAATAGGAATCAATGAATATAAGTATCACATTTAAAGTGATATGATTTGCATCTTAACATAGCAAAATGCGCCAAGTTGCATCACTATACATTATGTTATTTTTTGTAGAGAATTTTTAATGAACATTCATATAATTAGAAATATCGTTTCATCGATCATCAACATAGTGCCATAACTATCAGACGGTGGATGGTAGGGCAGTACTCTAGGATCTCGCGTGAAATTTATGCAAAATAGTATCGATGTTGGCAATTATTACGTTTTTTCTTTCTTCAAGTGGTTGGTCGGCGTCCAGTCTAGCTTATCCTTGATTATGCCATTAGATCAAAAGAATGATCCCTAGATAAACATCAATTATACGATAGATTTTTATTTTCATGAAAAAAAAATCAATTGACTTGTTTCTAGTAAAAATATAAGCTATAACCATTTGTACACATAATTGACTAAAAGGATAATGTGA